TTAGAGACCGTTTTTTGTTAATTCTTCGGTGTCTGCACTTTGCCAAAAATCCAGAGGTAGGAGAAGTTATAGAGGACAAGCTGTACAAAATTTGTCCATTGTTAAATTATTTTAATTAAAAAATGAATGACATATATCAGCCCGAAAAAATCTCTCCCTTGAGGAATCAGTAGTTTTATGGCCTGCTCGTCTCTGTTTTAGAATGTATATTAAAAATAAGCGCCATAAATTTGGTATAAAAATGTATCTACTTACTGAACCTAACGGATGTTCTACATGTATATGTTCCTAAAACATTGAATAACTTGTCTGAACGGCATATTTTGAGCAAAATAGCTGAGAAAAGTACAAAAGGAGAAAAAGTACAGTTATGAGGAAATTACAATAGAAAAAACGGGGTATTAACATAAATGGCCAATACTTCAATCACTTGAGATATGCAGACGAAATTGTATTAAATATTTGAATCAACAAAAATAGGTCTACAAAGTAATTATAATAAAACGAAAATTATGGCCAACCAACCAGAAGAAATAATAATTACAATTGCACAAACAACTATAGAACAAGTAAAATAATATGTATATTTGGGACAACTAGTTAAATTAAATAAAGAAAATGAGACAGGAGAAATAAAGCAAAGGATACGGTTGGCTTGGGTCTCCTTCGGAAAGCTTTCCTATATACTAAAAAATAGAAAATGCTCCCAATATTTAAAAACAAGAGTCTTCAAAAAATGTATACTTCCTGTTCTTACCTACGGTTCTCAAACTTGGACAAAGGAAAACATGGAAAATATAGCAAAGACCCAAAGAGACGTGGAAAGGCAAATGCTGAACATCAGGCTATCAGACAAGAAAAGATATATAGGGAAAATGTGCCTATGATGGTCCCCTTAAGAAAATAGCTTCATAATAATTTTAATTATTTACTTAGCAGACTTTAAATATGACCACATAACGTCTCGTTATTTGTACAATATGGCAAATGTTTCAAATTTTGCAGAAAAAGTGATGTTAAAAATTTATTCATAATTTACTAAAATCCTGTTAAGGGTCCATCATGGGCATATATGCGCTCATGATGGACCCTTTGGTACGCCCATGATGGACTCGTTGCATTTTGTGTAAAATAATTAAATACCAAATTATTTTATTAGATCAAAAGACATTACAAACGATAAAAAATATTACACATGGTATTTTTAAGAATAAAAAAATTACGCGCACAATTCACACACAAATTGTTTATGTCGAGGATTTACATCTGCACATTCAGTGTGACACCAATTCTTACACACTTGACAACGAATCCATTTTTCATTGGATCGTGAATGCGAAAATAGTTCGTTACAGTAGATGCAAGCTGCATCGTCCGAGTCGCCTTCTACAAAAGAGCATTCACAATCGTCTTCAGAACCACTTGTAGTTGAAACACGAACTTGCCTTTTCACTTTTCTGGCGTCTTGTTTCCTTTTTTTTGCTTCTTTGTCTGCAATTTTTTGTTTTATATCTTCAATTTCTGGCGTTGAATTTAAATATCCTGTTTTACCCCGTTTTCTACCCCTTTTCTGCATTACTTGAGATACTCCAGCTAAAGGAGGAGGACAAATATCTTCTACCGAGATGTTTAGAACTGACGATGATGTTGATTTCTGATCAGTGGGGCTTTTTGATAAACTTTCAATCGAAGAAACATTTTGGCTCCAATGTTCCGGTGGTGACTTCTGGTCAGAACATTCTGGCAGTGGGTTTTGTTCAGAATTTTCTCTATCTGTTGTTATAGACGGCAAAAATTGCCAATCCTCGAAGACATCTGGATTGAATGGTTGTATTCCTGTCTTTTTAAATGCATTGATTGCATTTGATGGTAAAGCACTTTTTAAATACGCTCTATTAAAGAGACTGGCTACTTTAAATTGGGTCACCGTTTTACCTGGATTCTGTCGCAGCCATAATTGAATTTCTTGGCCGTAGTAAATTTGAAGTGGTCTAAAAAATCCTACGTCCAAGGGTTGAACGTGATGAGAACAGTGAGCAGGAAAACAAAACATAATAATACCGTTTTCCTTTGCAAACTGGAGAGCTTCAAAACTTTTGTGACTACCATGGCCATCGAGTAACAACAAAACTTTGTTGGTTTTAGAAGCCTTTGTATACCTTAAAAAATGTTGCAGCCACAAATAGAAAATATCGGAAGTCATCCATCCTTTTTCTTGAGCGAAGGCTATACTTCCAGTAGGTGCATCGATCATAAGTTCATCTTTCTTTCTCTGTCGAGGAAAAATCAAAGCAGGAGGAACATATGTTCCAATTGCATTCATTGCACATACGACCGTAACATGTAGACCGCGCTCTGCACTACTTAAAGCACCAACTTGTTTGCGACCTTTACTAGCATAAATTTTCTGCGATTTCTTTTGCACAGTTGTCAAACCGGACTCGTCCATATTATAAATGTTTTCCGGTGGAAAGTGAAACTCGTGTAATATATTTGCTAATGCAGTAAAATAGGCACATATATTTGGTTTATTAAAAGCTTGAGCCCTTGCCAACGAAGTATTTTCTGGAGTGCGTAATGATATTCGAGGATTTCGCTTTAAAAAGCCTCTGACCCATTTCCAGCCTGCCATCCTGGTTTCCTTATTAAAATTGTGGCTAATATTGTTTCTTTCAGCTACTTCGTATACAAGTTTTCGCAAATCTTTACTAGTCAGGCCAAAAAAACGAGTTTCCATAGTAATAATATGGCCAGCAACTTCCTGTTCAATAGTAGTGGAGAATATTGGTCTTCGTCCCACAAACATAGGCACACTTACCCTACTTGGATCCGCAACACAACAAAAGTGACCAATGTATCAACGCAGATAGCAAAGCTTAAGTGCAAGTTCGCTGGACATACCATAAGACAGAAAGACGACAGATGGAATAAGATGATTATACACTGGAGACCATATAGATACAAACGAAAAAGAGAAAGGCCACAAATGAGGTGGTCAGATGACTTGAAGAAACACGCAGGGCCGAAGTGGATACAAACTGCCTACAATAGAGAGACGTGGAAGAAGGAAGAGGAGACCTATGTCCAAAATTGGACAGCAAGTGCTGTATAGATAGATAGAGAATGTTCTTTTAACTGCACAGTAAGCTGACAAACTATTCTGTATTACTAAACACAGAATACTAAATTGATAAAGATCATAATAAACTAAATTGTATATAAATTTATTTTACATAAAATGCTGATACAAAGCCTTTAAACAAAAGAAGTTTGTTGAGCAGAAAAAAGCTCATTTTGGCGATGTTCAATCAGGCGCGCCCGCCTGCAGTGCATTCCTTGCAGGCCCATTTGCAGGCCCGTTATCGCCGCCGTGACTATTGGGATTTAAAGCTACAGGTCTGAAAACTTCAAAAAATAATGTTGACTCAGTATTGAGAAAATCCGATACCTATGTTCTGAATTAAAGATATTAACACGAAAGCCACAGTTTTCCTTAAATATTTAGAATCAAAATTGATGTGGTTCTCCTGGACCAATTAAAAAAAACAAAAAGAAGAAACCATGAATTGGAAAGTAATATCGAAGATAAATCGCTGTACAGTATTTGGTTTTAAATTACAAAAGAAGTAGAATTTCAACCACACTTGGCAAGAGAAGATCCAGAACCTGATAATAATGCTCTTTAAAAAATATGTTCCCTGGCATCTACTATAAATGATTATATGATAAATGCTGTTTTCAAAATCTTCCAATTCTGATTATTAAGGCGATCAAGTTCCGACCACATCGAATGCTAGCAATATTGTGATTGATAGCAGTTTTCGCCCAGGTAAGGTTGAAGAAGTCAAACGTAATATTTGCACAAAAACCGATTCCTTCAAGACTATTTTACAATGTGCTCTCTTACCCCAATGTGAGAAACAGATAAGGCACAAAAGCATACATGCTCATATACGAGACGCATATGCGTCTATATTCGTTGTGGTTTTGTACCTCCATGATTCGTTAATGTTAAGTTTAAATCTCTTTATGTCGGCTATCACATTTGCAAATTTACCCGTTTGATTTATATTTCATTTTGTGGTTTGGTGATTTTTTGAACGCATTTTGCTTTGCACAATGCGTTCAAAAATGCGAGCAAAAATCCAAATTCCTATTATGTTTTTATGTAGCTGCCTTAGTTACTCTTGAACTCTTTGTAATCGATGCTATTTTTCTGTGGCCAGTTTTTATTATTATTTTTACTGTTTCCTTCGGTGTTTCCCTTGGTGAAACGTATTTGGATTTTTCAATGAAAATAAAATTGTTGTTCGACTATAACTAATGTTATAAAGTAACAATGCTAGAAGTAGAACTAACCGCTTGCTTAATTCAAATAAAAATGTAATACAATAATTAGAATATCAATAGAGAATACTAAAAACATTTATATTGAACATAAAAATAGTATGAATACTCAAAAAAAAATGTATTAATAGGTGCCTCTAATAATTTGTTCACTATTCACACACTTTACATACCATTCAGAAAAATTTTCTGAGAAATTGATAATCGTGGACTAAAGTATGCAACCAGTATCTCAACTCGATCCTGAAAAGCAGTTTCAGAACATTGTTCAAATCAAAACTAATTTCTGCTGAAAGTTTAAAGCACATCATTGATAGTTTTCGGTTTCCTATTATTAAAACAATTAAAAACTTTTCAATGTACATTATTTGCTAGTTGGCATATCATTTTTACATACAGAAGCATTTTTTTTTTAATTTCAATTATCAATTCAGTCCCTGTCCATTGTTAACGGTCTGTAGATGAATTCCAAGTGAAACAAGTCAAGAATTCTAACAGGTGTCTTAACTGTTAACTGTCAATTTGACATTGACGTATTTACGTTTAACATCTTGTTTTGAATTTTCTCAACAATTTTGCATAAATAAAAACTTTATTCTACTTGAAAAATGATTAAATTCTACTGATTCTACTGAAAAATGATTAAATAAGCAATGGCATCTGTATCTAATTTTTACAAACAAACAATAACAGCAGTCTTTTCCTTAATATCTACAGAGCGATTTAAAGTTGATGTAAATAAATTTGATGAACAAATTATCCAAATATTTAAAAGTATTCCATCAAAACTATATGGTAAGTCTAATTTAAACTAAAATTAGTTTATTATTTGTGATTTAATATCTAAATTTTCTCACATTAACTATAATGTTCTTGTTTTAGAACCTAAGAATCGTATTTGGAACTTTTCCATACAGCACCATGACTTATTACTCTTTGAATTACAAAAGTTACGGGAGAAGGTAACAGTTGAACCCATACCAAAATTTGTTATAAACTGTTTGAAAGTGCCACCTCGTGAAATAGAAATTGATTTTAATAGGCTTGATCCTGTATTATCTGCTGCTCTTATGCCTTTTCAGATTGAAGGTTTAAGGTAATAAACAATAATATTAGAGAAATATGAACTTATTTGTGTCTTTTAGGTTTGGAATCAATAGAAATGGTAGATGTATGATTGCAGATGATATGGGCCTTGGCAAAACTTTCCAAGCTCTGGCTATAGCTAATTATTATCAAAATGACTGGCCTCTTTTGATAGTTACTACTGCTACAATGAAGTAAGCATTTTTAGGTCCACTATTTAACCCAATTCGTACCTAATTAATATAAACTATTTATAAGTTTGAGAAGTAGTTTTACCCTGAAATGCAAATTATAAGCTGACCGCTATATATAATATAAATAAAATGCCCAAATAATTTAATACACATTATATTGAATGATACGCTAATTAGTGTGTAATATCATTGTGATGTTAGCATTTTTCAGACAGTAAATTTCATAGTTTTTCTTGCACTTCCAATATTTTTGATGTCTACTACTTATACCATCTCAGATTTGGTGAGGAAATTATTTTAACTGCCAGTAGCATTAATGAGTTATATAAAATGCTGCATTTAAATAAAAAATCTGCAAAGTAGAGGGGTGAAAGTGAACTACAACAAAATGAAAATTAGTGAAGAATCTTCTATAATTTCTATTAAGGGTTGACTAAAAGAAAGCTTTAAAACAAAGTGCAGTATCTGTGTTCTTGTTTAAACCAACCTTTTTTAAAATTTTGCATCAATTGAATGAATAATATTTGCTTCTGATGATACAAAACTTACTCATTGATAAAAGATGAATTAACATAAATTCATTTATTTGCTTTTTTAGGACTCAGTGGGAGGAAACTATATCAAATTATTTACCTTCAATTTCTATTTTACAAGTCCAGTACATGGTATCAGGAAAAGATTACATTGGTGAATCCAAAATTCTTATATCCTCCTATGATTTAATGACTAGATGTTTAGAAAAACTTCTAGAAAGAGGATTTGGGGTCATGATCATAGATGAATCTCATATTCTCAAAAGTTACAAATCAAAATGTTATCAGGCGGCCTTAAAATTAGCAGACAAAGCTAAAAAGGTGATACTCTTGAGTGGTACACCAGCATTGTCCAGACCAAGTGAATTGTATACTCAACTCAGTCTAATAGATAAGTCCTTCTTTGGAAACTTCTTTCTGTATAGTAAACGATATTGTGATGGCAAAACCACCAAATTTGGCTGGGACACTTCAGGAAGTTCCAATCTACAAGAACTTGAAATAATTCTAGCAAAAAAGTTCATGATACGTAGAACGAAAGAAAATGTATTATCAGCAATGCCCAAAAAGAGGCAGGAAATTATCAATTTGGACACAAAACTTAATCAGTTTTCCAAGGAAGAAAGGGAATGTTTGCTGGCTTTAGGGGAACAATTTGTGAAACAGAAAGGGGCAGCCAAACATGCTGCTCTGTTGACATTTTTTTCAGAAACTGCTAAAATTAAAATCCCCTCTGTATGGTAAGTAGTTATTTTGTTTTCTTTACTAGATTCTCATATTTATTATTACTGTAACATTTTTATTAAATGAACACTATGAACATGTTCATATTTCTTGTATTTCTGCTTTTAAGTAATGCCTTATAATTTCAATAATACTATGAATTAACAGAATGTTAACTCACAAGTACCACCTTTGACCTTAAACATACTATCACTTGACTGTCAGCTATGCTGTTGACAGATGAGTAGGGTTTGGATCTGAAAGTTTGAAATACATCAAACTAAGTACTCTTAAAATAAATTGCAACACATTTAATATATTACATTTTTTAGTTCATATGTCCTGGAAATATTAGAGAAAAAGGAAAAATTTTTGGTGTTTGCCCATCACAAGGTTATGTTGGATGCTCTAGAAGATCTTATCAAGAGAAAAAATATTAAATATATTAGAATAGACGGTACATCAACAACAGATCAAAGAAAGTACTTTATTTCAAAGTTTCAGCTAGATGACAAATACTTGTGTGCTATTTTGTCGATAACAGCAGCAAATGCTGGAATTACGCTTACAGCTGCTAAGCTAGTGTTATTTGCTGAGCTTCATTGGAACCCCAGTGTAAGTATATAAATATTTTTCTTTAAGAATGACAGTTATAGTGACAGTAAAATACAGGTTTTCTTGTATTTTGAGAACAGTTTTTGATCTGCAGATCAAAATTTCAAATTATAATGTGTATTCTATTATGTATTCACATCACTGCCAAGAAACTTATCTAAATTTGATTCTGAATCAAAATTATCACCTGGCCTGTCTAGCACAGGTGGACTATACTACAGCGTTCATAGGCATAATACATCGAGTCCAACACTGGCAGTGATACCTTCCCTATCGAATATCAGTGTTTATAAAGATTTCGGTTGAGTTTACCGAAAGTACAAGCTGAATATAGCCGCAAATGTCAAAAATATTTCGGTTTGGCAGTGTTGGCATGTTTTTATAATGCATATGTTATATGCTTCAAATATAAAGAGATAAAGCTTTTAAAAAGTACATTTTGATTATACTATGTTATGAATTCCACAATTTTTAATTTATATGAAGCAATAACGGGTAAATATTTGTCTCTTTCAAGATTAATTGCAAACATCTGGCAATTGCTGATTTGCCATTGCCAAGAAACAAATATTTACTCATTTTTTTATTTACTTGTTTAATGAACGGATATGCCATTTTTACATAAATATGACGTCAACCTTTACAAAGCTTAGGTATACATAGGTTCCGTTAATAAAAAACAAACCAAAATTAAAATCAAACAAAATTCAATTAAAATGGTAGCTTAAGGTATTAAATAATGCTCAAAATCGCTCAAATGATTTCTTAAATGCTGCTGTAGATATTCCAAATGACTCTAAATTATTGCTGTGCTCATTAGCAGTTCGTAAAATTCTTGTAATGGGTTCATTTTGGCCATAATTCGTACTGTGGAATGGAATGTTGAAAATCTCAGTGTTACGAGTTCTTCTAGTATTAACATTAAAACTTATTAAACTTAGTAACTCTGGATCTTGAACATATCCATTTATAATTTTAAAAAGGAAACATAAATCCGCTTGACATCGTCTATCATGTAGTGATGAGATTTTTAAAGCTTTAGCTGAAGTTTCGTTAATGTGATTTTTAAAAGTAAGTTTAGAATCAAAATTTATACCTAAATCTTTAATATTATGACGTGCCTCTAAAGGTACATTATTTATATAATAATCATAATTTACAAACTCTCTTGATCTTCCAAAAGTAATTTTAAAACATTTTTGTATATTTAAGTATAGCATGTTTACCTCACACCAACTAGCTAAGCTTTTAATGTCATTCTGTAATAAAGAGGCATCAACTAGGTCATTAACTATTCGAAATATTTTAAGGTCATCAGCAAACATTAGAAATTTACTATTTTTAATCACTGAGGATATATCATTAACAAATATATTAAATAAGAGAGGCCCAATATGCGACCCCTGAGGAACTCCTGAGGTTACAGATACTCGTTGAGATAAACAATTTCCATATTTAACATACTGACATCTACCAGATATATAACTACCTATCCACTCAATTATTTTACCTCCAAATCCATAGCCATTTAATTTAGCAATAAGCAGATCATGGTTAACTCTATCGAAGGCTTTTGAGAAGTCTGTGTAGATAACGTCAACCTGACCCTTCTGTTCCACTGAATTAGCTATAAAATTCGTATACAATATTAAGTTCGTGCATGTAGACTTACCCTTAGAAAAGCCATGTTGTCTAACATCAATTAAATTTTTACAATTCCAGGTCAAAAAGTTACTTACAAGACACTCAAAAAGTTTGGGTAATACAGATTGGCTACAAACCGCTCGATAATTCTCAACATCATTTTTATTACCAGACTTGAAAATTGGTGTTAAATAACTAGTCTTCCAAAGATCAGGAAAGATGCCGGTACTCAATGAGGAATTAAATAAGTAGCAGATAGGTTTTACAAGAGTGAAAATGCAATGCTTGAGAACATAAGCTGGCAAACAATCTGGTCCAAGCGATAATTTCCAAGGCATCTTTAAAACACTATCAATTATGTCAGAGACCTCAATACTATAATTATTCACATTTACACTCTGCTGATAGTTAAAAATTGGGATCTGATTAATTTTAGAATTAGAATATGTAGTTGAGAAAAACTTACCAAATAGATTAACTATGTCTTGAGCATTATCACTTGTACTATCACCGTAGAACATATTAGATGGCAGATTATAACTTTTACGTTTATTATTGATATATTTCCAAAAATGTCGAGGATTAGATAGAATCCCATTCTCAATATTATTCAAATAGTTACTATAACATTGAGAGGAGACTTGTTTAATTTCATTTCTTAACTGAGAAAATCTTAAATAATCATCCCTTCTACCAAACAATTTATACTGCTTATGTAATTTCTTTTTTAAATATATCAACTTCCTTAATTTACCATTGAACCAAATTGGAAACGAACTTGTTTTAAATTTTTTGATCGGAACAAAGAAGTCAAAACCTGTAAACATAAAATCATAAAATACTGCTAAGCTATAATTCACATCATCTGATAAAAGTAAGTCCCAATTTAAACTTGCAAAGTAATCATTTAGTCCGATGTAATTTGCATTTTTAAAATCATAATAAAATTCCTCGTAGTTCAGTTGATCATGCTTTTCAAAACCAGTTAATTCTACAATTATAGGTGAATGGTGGATACTATTACCAAATAGTGAATCAAGTGGAATAACTACATCAACATTATTTAAATTAGTAAATACTAAATCTAGAAAGACATTAAATATAATGTTTTATATAAATCAAAAATTGCAGAATTCATAACATAATATGAGCAAAATGTACTTTTCTATATTTGAAGCATGCAGCATTTACATTATAAAAACAAGTCAACACTGCTGAACTAAAATTTTTTGTTCCATGTTTGACATTTGCGGCTATTATCAGCTTGTACTTTCGGTAAACTCGGCTATTATCAGCTTGTACTTTTGGTAAACTCAACCAGGATTTCTATTGTAAAAGAAGGTATATGCCATTAGGTTTTCTGTTTTACATAGATATCATTACTTTACTTTTCCGCTTCTTATGAGCTCCATATTTTTGGCAGAGGTTGAAAAGCCAATCACTTGTTTACTATGGCACAATCGTACTTGACTTATTATACAGCTTTCAAGTTTTTATATATTGTTTGACTGTATTTGTTGCCTATTATTTCATTTACATATATGTAACTAATTTGTTGGTTTTAATAATTTTCAGATCATAAGTCAAGCTGAGGCTCGAGCCCACAGAATAGGACAAGAAAACGAGGTTTTAGTCCAGTATCTCCTAGCCGGCGGTACAGCGGATGACTCCATTTGGCCTCTTCTTCAAGAAAAACAACGTACACTGAACGCTGTAGGACTTTGTAGAGACTCATTCGAATCGGTCAGCGTCAGCAAACAAAAATCTCGAGTCAGTAGCGATAACGTCGATTCTCTGCACTTAAGTGGCAATGATATTACGAATTATTTTACTCCGAAAAAGAGAAAAATGGAGGAACTAGACGAAGATATCTTCGACGATGGCTTTGATGATTTGCTTAGTGAGAGTACGAGAGAGGCCGAAGACTTACTGAACGATGGCATGGATGATGTACTTTGTGATATTGACTTTTAAACCAGTAGTGCCAAAGATAAATTATTTATTTTTGCAGGTTATTCTTGTTTATTTGTTACTATTGGGACTTTTTTGTATGTTTTTAATACATATTTAGCTGTTCAGATCGTGAATTGAAATTTTAAATTTTTTGTATAAACTTTTTTTTTTAATTTTGGTATTTTACTGCACTAAAATGGGATTTTACAAAAAGAAATTATCTTTTTTTTTAATCGTGTCCAATAATAATTTATTGAACGTTTCTATTGTTGCGTTTTAATTCAGCGTTTGTTTTGTATTTGAATCCAATTTCAAATTTATCAATATGTAAACGTTATAGATAAACAAAAATAACAAACCGCCAAGCTCGTTTTGGTCGGATTATGAGTTTAACCCTTTAGTCATACGTCAATGGTACTTTGTACCACTTGCTGTTTCCGTAGATTCTGAATACTCGTAGATTGTTAAAATAATTAAAATCCCTTTCGAAATAGGAAGAGCGGCACAGAATAATAAACAATTAGAATGCCCACTCTGCTTGTCAAGATAAGTACGCGCATCTCGTTCGCGCCGACGGAATCAGCCATGTTTTAAACGGAACCAGTGCTGTTCAGTGAAATTTTATCTGGTATGCATAGAAAAATTAACTCGGTTTAATTTATTTACGCAACCATAGACATAATAATATGCACTATTTTATTCATACTTTTAGTTGAAGAATAGATTAAATTAATATTGTTCTGAAGCTATTTTCTTGTGGCATTTTAAATTAATTACTATGTAACTGGGAATAAGCCACAATTAAAGATAAAAATATGTTTATTGACGTTTCAATTTCCACTTCGGAAATCGTTCTCAAAATACAAACAGTAAATTAAACAAATTTTGTTTTTTGTTACATAGTGAAAAATTCTTCTAATAATTTAATTTTATCTGACTCATTTATATTGACAATTCAGACATACATTATGCATTTTAAAGTAGACGACTTTAAAATGATATTGCCAATATTGTTGAGTTGCGCTCCTGGGACGACTTTACTTATAAGATAGTTCATTCGATTACATGAAATCAACTTTAACTTAAAAATATCCGTCATAAAAAAATCATAGCATGTAATTCGTCTTTAAAAAGACAAACACATGACATGATGACAGTAAAATTCTCATTAGTGATTCCATAGTAAATTATGAGGGAAAAACCAGGAAAAAAACCTCATAATACTATCCCGACATGGTAAGTATTTGTTCGTGCATTTAGTTTTCCTTCAATAAACACCAAAATTCTGATTTTATATGTTTCGTTATTTAAAAAACATAAATGATGTATCCTCTATAGTCTCATATCCAGTATAATTCTTAGAGATTAAAACATCCAGGAAAGGTAGCGTGTTATTATATTCTTTTTAAAAAAAAATCAAAGAAGCGGCTCTAATTATGCTAAAGGAGGCCAATTGTGTCACAAATTCCTAAATTATTAATCTCTAAAAATTTAAATTACAGTTCTGTCGTAGCATGTCACAATTTTTTTAATCCGAGTCTATGTTTCCGTTAAAAATATGACGATCGCGTGCTGACACACTTCAAAGGCGGCATCTGAGAGTGGGCATTCTGGTTGTTATTTATTCTGCGATAGCCGTAACTATATGTGATATTGTAGCTCTCAGTATGAATAATGCCATGCTTTGGTGAAAAGACTAAAATGACATCATAAAGTGGTACACATCGATGTCACAACATTTATTACAATTGGGAGTTTTTGTGCACGCTTTTTCACTGTTTTTGTCAATGTGGAAGTGATAAATTAAAGAAAAAGTAAGTATTACATTGTTTTATTATAAAATTATGTTTAAATGCCGTACCTCCGAGGTAAAGGACACTATGTCCATTTTCTTACTTTTTAAGTAGAGCAGTTTTAACATTTTTTAAATTTGTAATCAGCAAATACTCAAATATTTCTGATATTTAACCATATGGTTAAATATCAGAAACATTTGAGTATTTACTGATTACAAATTTAAAAAATGTTACAACTGCTCTCCTTAAAAAGTAAGAAAATGGACATAGTGTCCTTTACCTCCGAGGTACGGAATGATTTCGGTTGTTTTTTCGATAGTTACTTATTAAATCCTTTAAAATATCTATTAGAGGTTAGGTTAGATTTTCAATGTGATAATGTTTTAATTAAACTTTAGTGGTTGTTGTCAATAACTATGACTCATTACCCAAATGTCCATTTAGTTGGTACATATACGTACCACTAAATATTAAGTGTTAATGTTCTTTCTTCTTCTTTGAGTGCCTCTCCTATCGGAGATTGGATATCATTATGGCGATTCTAATTTTATTAACTGCTGTTTTGAATCATTCGTTAGTGGTACAGCCAAACCACTCTCTTAAATTTCTCATCCAGGACATTCTTCTACGGCCTGGATTTCTGCGTCCTTGGATCTTTCCTTGCATTATATTTTGTAGGAACGTGTACTTTTGTCCTCTCATTAGGTGGCCTAAGTATTCAAGTTTTCTCTTTTTTATATTCATAATAACTTCTGGATCGTTATTTATTCTGCTTATTACCTCTTCATTTGTAATTCTATCCACCCAACTTATTCTTAGAATACGGCGGTAGCACCACATCTCAAAGCTTTTAAGATTTTTAATATTCCTCTGTTTAAGAGTCCACGCCTCAACAATATTCTTTAGTTAAGGTCATTTGCACACATGTTGGTGGAACCATGAGTTTAACCCTTTATAGGTCACTGGTACATATTTGTACCACTTGCTGTTTTATGCAACTTAATACTCGTACACTGTTACGATAAGCAAAATCATTTCCTAAGTAGGAACAGCAGCAACTCTGCGTGATTTTGTAGCTCTCATTACAAGTAACGCCATGCTTTGGTGAAAACACTAAATTTACTTCAAAAAGTGGTACACATCTATACAACTGATAACTAATAAATTGAAGTAAGTATTGAAGTAAAACCCGAAAGGGTGGAGGAGCTAGTAAAAAAATTCTACGAAAATAAATTACTCACCTGTGTTTTCTCATCTAGATCAAGGTCACAATGTCTAAAAATTACTATATGGACGGCCTCAGTGCAAAAGGTAACAAGTCATTTTTCGGATTTTTTTTTCTCATGTGATAATAATTGGTTTACCAATGCCTAACTCTGTGCAAAAAGAATCAAGTCTACTACCACTGAAAGGCTACATTTTTTTACGTGTAGAACGTAATAAGTTAAATAATATGAAAAACTTCATTTGTGCAAAAGGAAATAAGTGGACTTGTTACCTCCTTTACAGTATTTGAATTGACCAAACACTGCCTGGCTGTCATGTTTCCAGTTAGTAACAGTACATTTTGGTTTGGTTTGGTATCTTTTGTACGTCCTTGTTTAAGACACTACTATTCTGGCAACCCTGTCCTCAATGACATGTGCATAGATTAATTCAACCTTGGTGGGAGTGTGCTACATGTGTTTGGTGCAATGCAAAGGTTACGTATTGTTGGAGGTGACTTTTGTGCTTAAGTCTTTCTTCCTCAGATCGTCAATGATGTAATAAATGTAGAGGAAAATCAACCCCAAGAAAAAGTTAAAAAGAGAGACTCAAAAGGTGATACTAGAGAAGAAGGAGAAAAAACAAAGTTATCCCTAAATCAAGGATTAGTGTATTTTACGGGGCAAGGTGTGAACGTTGCTGGGCCGAATTTAGCTACCACTGCCTTCTTGCAGAAAAAAGTGCAGTGGGAAAATTTCACTTGAAAATCAAACAAAATATTTTCACTGCCTATTGGAATTTAAAGACACGTTACCGAAGGGCAGCCTATCTGTGCGGTCTCTTAAGTAAAGATGATAATCTGAACCATGGTTAAAGGACGCGACAAAATATGTCTAAAACCCAGAAGAAAAGAACAGCATTAGTTCATTAAAATATTCCGATTCAGGGCCAAAGGATCGATGTTTGTGAGAGCTGTTTTCTCACAATATTTGGCGAGACAGTAAGTAAAGTTTGTATGGACCATTGTCCAAAAAAAAGGCTTTCCATGCTTCAACAACCATCCCAGATGAACGAGGCAAGCACATCCTTGGAAATAAAATATCCAAAGACAGAATGGCTTTGGTGCATTAGCACCTTGCATCTCTTCCAGCATATGAGAGTTATTACTGTCGTAAAGAGACTACTAAAAAATATTTGCCACCTCACTACACGCCGGAGGAAGTTTACAGTAAATATAAACAAGAAGTATAACTATTTATGGCAACGTCGTAAACATCCTAAAAAGGGTACTTCTCATACACGTGACGAAATTAAAATAAAATTTTCATACCCTTAAGCTATCGAGAAGGAATTGTTACTGGAAAGTAGGAAGAATCATCACATGAAAGCTTTATTAACTAATGCAATGAAGTTGGCAGACAAGCAGCAGCGTCAGAATAACCCAAACTTTACTTCAATTGCATTTGATTTACAAGCGTGCTTGGGGAACTTCACTTGTGCAAACATCAGGGGCCTTCTGTAAACGACAATTATGAACAATTAATCTGACCATGCATAACATGAAATCAGGAGTCGCTTCATGTTTTCTGTGGTATGAGAATATGGCAAAAAGAGGAGGAAACGAGGATCTTATGTGTTCAATGGACTCCACCAAATAGAAAAAAAAATTCACATGTCGTTTTGTACAGTGACTCATGCACAGGTCAAAAACCTGTTGAAAACAGAATTATCATTTACAAAAAAAAACAGGCTTACCAACAACCACTGCCACTGAAAAGTGGCACTTATCATTGAAAAAAAAAGAGACATTTTGTCAGTATTTCTGTACCTCTTGCCGGTGTATCATAAATTTTATCAAGATCTACCAGCCCAAGGTGTTTTGCTCGATCCTTTAATAAGTGACGAAGAGGACTAGCATTTTTTTATTTACCATTTTTTATAATATTACATACACGTTAGATATACCTTTTTTATTAATAAAGTTTTTGTAATAAGTTTAATGTATTTTTGTGCCTTGAA